GCCCCCAGCTGGCATGGTGGCCCCAGGGGGCCCTGAGAGTGGGGCCTAGCCTGCAGAATGCAGATGGGAGCCTTAGAGCAAGACAGGGTTCTCAGGGAGAGGAAGGGGCCCCTGAAGTTCCTCTCTTCTCCTCCTCTCATTCACTGCTGAGGGGGAGGCACTGCTGAGGAAGGACAGGGGAGATTAGAAACATCAAAGCTCCAAAAAAAATGAAGTTGCCTTGGCAACCAGATCACGGGGGCCAGGTCCCTGGAGTCCCTAAAACTGCTAGGAAGACTCTAGGAAGCTGAGCATCTTTACCAACCCCCTCAGCCTTCAACAAGTTCCCATTCCCCCACAGCCCCTATTTCTTCTCTCCCGGATAAACGGTTCTGCCTCCTAGCCCGAACTCCACATCCCCATGTGTTCCTTCCCACAAGTCCTGTTCTCCAGTGATTTCCCAGCACCTTCCTGTTCCCCTTGGTGCTGAGGCCCCATCCTCCCTCAGCCTCATACACTGTACAAGAGGACAGGAAAGGGCCAGGCCGGAGGTGGTGGAAATCCGGCCATTGTGGTAAGTGGGTACTGGCTTGGAGAGGGCCAGAAGACTCATTCTCAAAAGGGTAGGGATGCTGTGGCAGGGAGATCGAGAATGGGAAGGATAGGAATTATAAATGGAAAGGCATCTGGCTTTGAGCGCCTCTCTCTGATCTGGACTGCCTTACTTGTCCAGTTCAATTGCATAAGCAGCACACAGGTGCGGGACACTTGCGGGGTATAAACAATGCGCATTCACCACAGGTAGTAAGCATCTCACATGGACCACACTTGCCATTCGATCCTCACCGCAACCTTACGAGGCATGTGCTATCATTGCCCCTGTTCTACAGATGAGGAAACAGGCTCAGAAAGGTTAACTGACTTGCTCAGAGCAGGGTCATCTCCGCCATGCTTTCAGAATAGCTCTATGAATCCAGCAGGGCAAGGGAAGGATCACCATTTCCCAGATGCAGTCACTGAAGCAGACAGGAAAAAGAACTCCAAGGTCAGAGATCAGGAGCTTCTCCTCCCTAGTCAGGCCTGCATGCTCAGCCCCGTCCTGCAGGAAGCCTTCCTGACCACTCCAGCCCTTGTGGGGGACCACCCTGGGCACCCAGCCAGATGCCCAGATTAAGTTCCTGCAGGGCAACAGAACCAGAACCTTCAAGAGATTCCAAGACAGACTTCCAGCTAAGCACTTGTCAGAACATAGGCACAAAGGAACTTCAGCAGAGCTGGACTCCCTGGGCAGAGTTCTAGCTACTTCAAAGCACCTAACAATTTTAGCATGTAATTATGTTCTGCCATGCATTGTTTCCTGTTGTGTTGTTAATTTTGTCTCCTCATCCCAACTGGAAGCTGGGGAACAAGAAGGGAGCCTGACTTTCCAGTGGGCCCCCAGGGTGCGGAGGGCTCAAAATAGCCTGGGAGATTGATTGATTGCCCTCAGCCCAGCCCTCAGCAGCACCTAGGCTGCTTGAAGCAGGGCCTCTCCTTTCTTCTATGCCAGCAACCGTGCCAAGCACCCCTCACCCGCACCACACACCCACACACAAAGGCAGGTGCTCACAACTTGCCAAGGGAATCTTCCTGACCTCTTTACCAGCAGTGAGCCAAAAAGTACTAGTCCAGGACCCCAGGCCACAGGAAAGAGGTGCCAGGAACTTGCAATGCATTGCACAGGACCCCTCCCTCACAATAACAAACACTCGAGCAATTACCAAGGTCTGTGCTAAATCAACCACCTTCTAAATCCAATAATGTTATCTCCATTCTACAGACGAGGAAATACATCCCTCAGCTGTACAGTAGTGCATCCCATCTGCAATGCACAGCAACAGGGCTTTAAGTTCCTGATACTTGCTCTCCTCTCTGGTTAAACAGATTACAGCATGGGGCTGTTGTGAGATTTTAATGAGATCTCACAAGTAGGAACACTATGTAGACACTCAACATAGGATTTTTTTTTTCCTTTCCTGCTTTCAGGGTTGCCACAAAGCTTTAATCCTTTGGGGAATACCCCGCCCCCCAAGCTTGGCTTTAACTTAAGAGAAAGCACTATGGCCATCGTTTATCAGACAGAGCCCTCTTAGGAACCCAGGCAAAGTCTGGGATCAGGATAAAGATGAAGGTCACAGTGGAAAGAAAAATCCGTAAGGGAGACACAGAAGCCAGAGCCTCCCATCAGGAAAAGCTGCTGAGTATATTCCTCCTGGAAAGCAAACTCACTTTGCACCCCTCGCCATTTTTAAAACGCACCCTAACTCATTCTCCTCTGGGCCCTGGTCCCAGTCCAGGGTCGGGGGCGGGGGGGGGCGAAGAGCAAAAAACAAGGATCTGGGGGTGCTGGGGATTTACCTCAGTGGCACAGCACCTGCCTGGCAAGCGCAAGGTCGTGAGTTTGATTCCCGGTACCGGGAAAAAAAAAAAAAAAAAGAAAAGAAGGATCTGGGCCAAGACTTGGTGGGGGACTTGGGTTAAAATCCAGATTCTGTCACTGTGTGACCTTGGGCAACCCTTCTGGGCCTCAACGTTCCCAACTGTAAAATGGGAATACAGCAATAAAAGAGCTCCCACAGGATGAATGGAGGATGTCACATGAGAGAATAACGTGAAAGTACTTTTTAAGGGGCCAATGCAATGTATGAGATTTTTTATACCATCACAGCAAGAGGTAGAAAAGGAAGGTAATGAGCTGTGGGAAAATAGTGCCAAGCACCCCACTTCATACACACTTCCTTGCAGGGCTAAGAAACCCAACCAGACCAGGTCTGAAGAGCAGATAAGCAGACCCACCACGGCAATCAGAGGCAGAGGAATCAACACCCCCCAGCAGACAGAAAAAGGGCAAATCGTGGAGAAGAGGTGCTTGTGAGGGGCAGTGGACAGGGGGCAAGATCGGAGGTTGATATGATTAGCTCAAACACCCTAGGGTGTGACCCCGGGTGACATCAGAGACCCTGTCATCTGAAGTCGCCCATCAACCAGACACAATGGAGGGAAGAGGAAGGGGAAGAGGGTGGCAACAGCAGGCAAAGCTAGCCAGAGGCTGACCACGGCTCAGCTGGGCTCTCCCACCGCGAGGAGAGGGCCTACCCAGGCACAGCTCCTCAGAAGCGAGCAGCCTTGCTTTCCAGTGCTAGACACAGGGACCCGCGCCCCTGCACCCCGTGTCTCACCTGGTAGGGGTCACTATAGTGCCCCAGCGCCTCCGCTTCCGCCTGGGGTCCTCCAGCGGTTCTGCCAAGCAGGGAGAGGGGCAAGGAGACCTTTCCCCTTGCCACCTCTTCCTCGGCTTTCGCTCTTCCTGAGGGGCGGACCCGGGAAACCTCCCCTGGAGGGGAGGGGGTGACAACCTGATCTGACCTCGCGGTCCAGTCCTTCTCCAATCCGAGGGCGATCCCGGATTTCTGATCCTGGGGTCTGAACCCCGTATATTTGCAAGGGGACAAAATGAATCCGCTCTTTGATCGCCTGGGGAATGAACCCCGGACTCTGAGGCACGCAGGGGCCTGAACCCCAGATATTTGAAATGCTATAAAACAGAGACCCAGGTTTAAAGAGGTTGGGATCCGAGTCCCGGATATCTGAAATAGGAGAGCTGATACCTGGGTATCTGGGCAGCGAGGGGGCCGAGCTTGGAGATTTGGGACCTACGGGCCTGAGCCCCAGGTCTGCGGCCACCGACAGGGGGCCCACCCCGAGGACGTCCGGCCGCACGGCCCCTCTCACCCCGGGTCCGAGGGTGACAGCCCCCACTCCCACCCTGGCCTCCTTCCTTTCCCCTCCTCTCTCCCGAGGGTGGACGAAAGATTGTAGCTAAGGCGATGCTGATGGTCCCCGCGCCCTCTCCCCCAGTCTTCTCCGTCTCAGCCTCTCTCCGCACCACAGCCCCGCTCTAGTCCCGACCTCCCTCTCCCTCTTCCTCCCAATTCCAAGATGGAGACCGGGCGGGAGCGCGCAGGCGCAATGGGTCGCCGGGCCGAAGGGGCGGGGCCCCAAAGGAAACAGCCCCGCCCCTCCTTCCTCGTAGCTGCGGCCCGGGAGACCGGCAGCCACTGAGACCCAGTGCGCGCGCGCCTCGCCACGCGGACCCTGGGTGGGAGGAGGCGGGGAGAAAGGATAGGCTTGTAGCGGGAGGAGCCCAGGGCGCTGGTCGACCACTGGCGGTAGAGAGCGCTGCCGCGCACGCGCCCGCCCCGCCTCCGCTCTGTTGCTAGGGGAAGCTTTGATAGGGTGCGGATGGAAGCGAGAAGCCGCGATGTACGCCTGCGTGAAGGGTAGACGCTGCGAGCCGCAAAGGAAGGCAGCTGCCGGGCACAGAAAAGGCGGGAAAACGGGCCGCTCTGATAGTAACCATCCAGCCTAGACCTGGGCCCTAGAGTGCGAGGTATCTCCGCATGTCAATGTCGGAAAAACCTAATCGGTTAAATTCCTTAAGGAAACTGAGACCCTGTAGAGTTGCCCGACTTGCTCAAGGTCACAGTGCACTTCCGAAAAGGCATTTCCTTGATTTGACATGTCCCCTCGCCCACCCAAAAAAACTAGCTGGAATTACCAATTTTATTTCACGGCAGAAGACAACTCAAAATAGTAGACCTGTGCCAGGCAACGTGGGAGCGCATCTGCAATCGCAGCACTCTGCGAGGGTGAGGTTCCATCCCGTCCGGGCAATTTAGTGACTTTTCCGTCCCAGGCTGAGGCGACTCCATAGGTTGTCTCAAAATAAAAAGGGCTGGGATGTAGCTCGGTGTGAAGGCTCTGGATTCAATCTCCAGCAAACCCCCCCCCCCCCAAAAAAAAGCTGGGATCAAGTCCAAGTATTTTCCAAAGTCAAGTCACAACCATGCAAAGAGCTGTAGTAACCATGTCAACCTGCACTCCAAACTAAACAGTCAACAAGAAAAAGTCCCCTAAACCTCTCAAACCTGAAGCCACACACTAGAACTCAACTCCATACTCCCAAAACATTTTAGGCAATACTGGGCCCAAAAACGCCTTTTATTTTCCCCTATATTCCAGCACTTCACTTTTTGTAACATTTCTTCCATCTCAGAACCAAGGCGCGAGAAGTTGATGCGCGAGAAGTTGATTCACACCTAAGGAAAAAACACCACAGGTCAGGGAGCCCCTGAGTGAGGCTCTGGGATGAGTGCTGAGGGAGTGGCAACAGAGACAGGTCAGGAATTTAACCTCACTGAGGTGGCTGTAGGACCCTAGGATCTGCTAGGGGCCAGAAAGCCGCCTTCCCAATTCCAGGGTGGGAGGGCTCCATCACTTCCTGTCTCAGTAGGCGGCTGGGGCAGTGAATCCTAGCCTCAAGCAAACTAATGAAGTTGAACTTGAGCTTCTAGTTTCTCTGGCCAGAGCAGTTTCTTGGGCCTGCTGTTTTCACTTCTCCCACACTAATTTCCTAGGGCACAGTGGCCAGCTGACGTTGAGACTGGCTGGTTTAAGTGCTGATACCTACCAGGGTTCTCACGTTGTATGTCAGCCAACTGACATGGTGAAGACTTTTTGCAGAAATAGTTTTTTCCTTGATGGGCTGACATGTGAACTTGTTAGGCAATACCTCCTCTACCTTCTGCTACCTTTTTGAAACTAATTCCTTCCAAAGATCTTATTGACAGAATCTTTTAGTTTTTGTAGCACTGGGGACTGAACCTAGGGCCTCCTACTGAGCTACATACCTCAGACTTTTAATTAATTTATTTATTTTTTGGGTCTCACTATGCAGGTCAGGCTGGCCTTGAGCTCACTTTGTAGCCCAAGCTGGTCTCAAACTGGCAATGATCCTCCTGCCTCAGCCTCCCGAGTGCTGGTATTACAGGCATGTGCCACCATGTCCAGCTTCAGCCATTTTATTTTGATTTTTTTTGTGTGTGTGTGTGAAATAGTATCTCTCTATGTAGTCCAGGCTGGCCTCAAACTCATGGCAATCCTCCTGCCTCAGCCTGAGTGCTGGGATTACAGGTGTGCATCACCTCAAGTGGCCCATGTATTTTGAGACAGGTCCTGCTTAGTTGCCCAGGCTGCCGTCAAACTTGCAATCAAGAGCTGGGTGTAGTGGCACACACCTGCAATCCTAGCACTCAGGAGGCTGAGGCAGGAGGATCTTTGTGAGTTTGAGACCAGCCTGGGCTACAATGTGAGCTCAAGGCCATTCTGAACTGCATAGCGAGACCCTGCCTCAAAAAGATAAAAAACAAAACAAACAAAAAAACACTTGCAATCTTCCTTCCTCAGCCTCCAGAGTAGCTGAGGCTACAGGCTTACAATCAACTTTTTTTTTAATGCAGTGATGACTCAATAGAAGAGTGCACCTAAAGTGCTTGGGCACATAATACTGTATGTGCCCAGTAAATGGGCATCATTAATTAGATTCTTCTGAACTGTACAGGTTGAATTTTACAATCGTTGCTTGATACAACTAGGTATCAGAATTTCAGGACCTTCTTTTTCCTCGCCCTCTTTCCTCTTGACTGCCAGCTGCCGGCTGCCGGCTGCCATGAAGGCCGAGCTGTGCAGTTTTAGTGGCTATAAGATCCACCCAGGACACGGAGGCACCATGCCAGGACCTATGGGAAGGTTTTCCAGTTTCTTAATGCAAAATTTGAGTCTTCACTCCTTTCCAATAGGAATCCTTGGCAATTAAATTGGAATGTCCTCTATAGCAGAAAGCACAAAAAAGGACAGTCTGAAGAAATTCAAAAGAAAAGAACATAAGGAGCAGTCAAATTCCAGAGGGTCTGCACTCTGGCATCTCTTGATGATATAATGGCTAAGAGGAATCAAACTGGAAGTCTGAAAGGCCTAACAAACTGGGCGTGGTGGTGCATGACTGTAATCCCAGCACTCGAGAGGCTGAGACAGGAGGATCCTTGTAAATTTGAGACCAGCCCGGGCTACAAAGTGAGCTTCAGGCCAGCCTGAACTGCACTGCGAGACCCTGTCTCAAAAGACAAAAAAAAAAGAAAATTTCAGGACAAAAAGCAAGACAAACATGATTCGTATCCAGGCCCAATCATGAAACTTTAACCCTCCTAACTCACCACGGTTGCCAAAAAGCATGGCTGTAACTATAGCTATGGGTGAATCTTAAAATCAAAATGTTCCTTGAAATAAATCAGTCACAGGAGAATATAGCTGGGTACAGTGGTACACGTCTATATCCTAGCTACTGAGGACACTAAAGTAAGAGGATCACCGTGAGTTTGAAGCCAACCTAAACTACATACCAAGACCCTATCTCAAAAAAAAAAAAAAAAAAAGAAGCTGTATAAGTTACTTCTAGGGAGAGGAGATCATATTCTGGAAGGCAGGGACCATGGGCTTCTGGGTTGTTGGTCGCACTTCACTTTTTTCCTTGGGTGCTATTTGTAAGTATCTATGATAATTTGCCAGGTTGCACATTTATATTTTTTTGGACTTTTCTTCATGAATGTGAACTATTTCATAAAAGTAAGAAAAATGTCGCAGGCTTACTGTAGGGGCAGTAAGGGTTCTCGGAGATTCCTAAGAAGCAGTGTTTGAGGGTGGAGTCCAAGTCTGCTGTACCCTAGTTACACCACCCCCAGCCCACCCCCACCGCCCCTCCCATGGGACCGGGTCAGAGAACCTCACCTGAGAACAAGGCAGGACTTGGCTCTGGCCCTCAGAGCCGGGCTCTGGACTCCCGGCGGCGCGGCGGGAAGCACGAAGCGGAGACACAGCACAGAAGGCCACAGAAGAGGAGCAGGAAAGAGCCCAAGACCAGCAGCCTGGAGCCACACAGTGCCAGCTCCTCCTGGGTGGGCAGAGGGGAAAGGAGAATGACGGAGAGGGGAGGGTGGGGATCCGCCCTTGCCCTCAGCCCAAGAGCATCTCAGCAGCAGCTAAAGGGAAAGGATTAGTTTTATACAAGTTAACATCCGTCTCCATAGTTTACCAGCTGCCTTCTCGCCCAGCCATAAACCTGAACTCCCAGGATGACTTCCCTGAGGTAGAAATGTGTACCATTACCCACGTTTTACTTTTATTTTTGTGTGTCTTTTTGAGACAGGGTCTCGCTGTGCAGTTCAGGCTGGCCTTGAGCCCACTTTGTAGCCCAGGCTGGCCTCGAACTCACAGTGATCCTCCTGCCTCAGCCTTCCGAGTGCTGGGATTACAGGCGTGCGCCACCATGCCCGGCTCCTTTTACCCACGTTTTAAAGGCTGGGCAAGCAGAGCCAGGTTGTGCTCTGCACGGGGTCTTTGTAGGTGTGAGGGACGCGGGCAAGTGGCCTCCTAGCTGGTCTCTTTACTCAGCGGGCCCTCTCACTTTCAAAGCCCTTGGTGACCCCCCTTCTGTGTCAAGCTGGACCCTTCACAGTGCATCTCAGTCAGCCCCTGCCCTTTCTCTGGTCTCTTCTTCTTCTTTTTTTTTTTTTTTGGTACCGGGATCACACTTAGGACCTTGCACTTGCCAGGCAGGCACTTGTGCCACTGAGCTATATAGCTGGCCCTCCGGTCTCTTCTAAGTTACTCCTAACCCTCACCAGTGGGCGCCCTCAAAAGCTGAACACTTAATCATCCTGGGCCTGTGCCCTGTACCTCCCTCTCCACAGTTCCGCTATTGCACTCCAAGCCCAAATGCTCCTCCTTCCCTAACCCGCATCCTGCCAGGGCGCAGGCCTGGGTTGCAGGCCTGTCTGGGCCACTTAACCAGTTGTGTGGCCTCAGGCAATTCACTCCCTCTCTCTAAAGGTGTTCCCTCATCTGTAAAGTGGGATAACAGCACCTACTTCAAAAGGCTATTTTAAGATCAAATGACTATGAACCTGAAAGCACTTTGTACATTATAAACTACTACACACAATTCTTTTTTAAGTGCCACCTTCTGGGGAGGTGCTCTCCATAAATGCTCAAGGTGGGGTTAATTGCCCCTTACTGGGTGTTTGTATAGTACAGTATCATGCCCACATCTCTAGGTCAGCAATTAGCTGATTCTGCCCCGCAGTACAGCTTCTGACTTCCTTTAAGTTACAGATCATGTTTTATTTTATTTACAGACAATACTATACAGTAATAGTTGTCATTAATCACACCTCTATTATGTACTGGGCATTGTGCTGAGCACGTCGTAGTCATTTTCACTCCATCCTTATTCGTTGTAGTTAAGACAGCATCATGTTTTCTGTTTTACACATGAGGGAGCTCAGGCTCAGAGAGGTTCAGATGGTTGCTGTAGGCCACACAGCCTCTAAGGCAGAAGTTAGAAAGCCTGTGTTTTTTCTGCTAGGTACAATTCCCTCCGGGAGCCTTCAAGATACTACAAGATTTAGCACGGCAGCCCACAGGACCCCAGGACTGATGGGGGGCTCTTACCGAGGTGAGGAGCTTGGTGAGCACAAGGCCTTCATGGCTCCAGACCCTGACACATTCCTCACCCATCTTGGGGCTCAGGGTGGCATTGCCTGCTCCCTCCTCCGAGCAGGATATGGGTGGCTGGCTGGAGGGCAGGATTCCTGGGCCGGCGCTAAAATACAGACAGGTTCCTGGAGTCCTTTCTGTGGCCGCCCTGGCTGTGATGAGGATCAGCTCCTGTGCAGAAGATCCTGTGAGAGGCACAGGAAAGGAGAAGGCTTCTTATAATACCAGGCATTGATTCTCCTCAAAAACGCACTTCGTCTATTACACCATTTGTATCACCGAGGAGTAAGAACAGCCATGTATCCATATGAACACAAATCAAAGGAAATTAGCTTACAGGCAATATAACAACCACACCAACACTCACAAGGTTGCAGTGAGAAAGGCAGATACCTACTGTGTCATTTTCTATAACTGTTTCTATAAACTGTTTGGAAACAGTTTTCCAGTAGCTCCCAAAATCTATTAAAAGGTTTACACCCCATCTTAAACTGTAGGGAAGCCGGGTGTGGTGGCCCATGCCTGCAATCCCAGCACTTGGGAGGCTGAAGCAGGAGGATTGCCACAAGTTCGAGGCCAGCGTGGGCTACATAGTGAACTCAAGGCCAGCCTGAACTATACAGTGAGACCCTGTCACAAAAAATAAATAAATTAACTAAATAAACCATAGGGAAAGGATAACCTGTTCAGTAAATGGGCTTGGAGTAATTTTCATGTGGGAATATAAAGTTAGATCTCACATTATAAAATGAAATTTTAAGATGAGCATGGTGGTACATGCCTACAATCCAGCACTCGGGAGGCTGAGGCAGAAAGACTGCCATGAATTTGAGGCCAGCCTGGGCTACACAGGGAGACCCCGTCTCCAAAAAGAAAAAAAGCAAAACAAAAAATCCAGATGTAACAAAGTATGATACAAAGTTAAAAAAAAAAAAATTAAGCAAGTATTACAAGGAAATACAGAAGTACATTCTACAATTTTTTTGTTTTATTTTTTTTTGGTACCGGGAATCAAACTCAGGACCTTGCGCTTGCCAGGCAGGTGCTTATGCCGCTGAGCTATATCCCCGGCCCACATTCTACAATTTTAAAGCAAGAAGGGCCCTCCTACAAAATCTAAAAGCCTGAAAGCCTTCCTAAAGGATGAGTTCAATAAATCGAGCCTCATAAAAGTTAAAGATTTCATATAATAAAAGTTAAAAAAACAAGTAACATTGCCTTAAAACACCTATATTTGATTAAAAAGTTTACTATGTAGAATAAAGACCTACAAATCAAGAAGAAAAAGATAGTTTAAAAGAAAACCAAAAAAAAAGAGAAAATTGAGCAAAGGATACAAATAGGTGACCTACAGATGAACGAGAACAGTCCAGTAAACCCTTAAGAAGAGGCCTCACTGGCAATCAGAAGTAAATAAATAATCAGGTAATTCCTTTGCTCATTAAGTGGGTAAAAATCTTTAAAAATACAATTGTTAAATTAGGCACTCTCAATTTTAGATGACAGTTTGGCTGTCAGTCCCAATTTTAAATAGGTACAGAAGAGGGACTGAGAGAATTCCCACCAAACTGGAATTCTTACACTTGCTTTTTATATTTCTGTATGGCCTGAGTCTCCAACAAAATTAATTTCTACCAGTATAATTGTTTAATTAATTGTATTGGTATACCTCTGACATACATAATGATCCCATTCATCATAGGGAATTTGTACTTTACAGTATAGTTTTTTAAAAGGCCCATACTCTTTGGCTCACTGATACCACTTGTAGAAATTAGTCCTGTGGGCGTGGTGGCACACACCTGTAATCCCAGCGCTCAGAAGGCTGAGGCAGGAGCATCGCCATCAGTTCCAGGCCAGCCTGGGCTATACAGTGAGCTCAATGCCACCCTGAACTACATAGTGAGATCTTGTCTCAAAAAACAAGCGAAAAAAGAAATTAATCCTAAAGCCAGGTGTGGTGACACACACCTGTAATCTCAGCTACTTGGGAGGCTGAGGCAGGAGGATAGAACTTCCGAGTCCAGCATTGGCACCTCAGTGATACCCTGCCTTAAAATAAAATAAAAAGGGGTAGAATGTAGCTAGGTGGTAAAGTGCTTGCCTAGCATGTACAAGGTCCTGGGTTCAATCTAATATAGGAAGGAAGCAAGGGACAGAGGGGGAATTAATCCTAATGAAAGGATTAGAGAAAAAAAAGGCAAAATATCCCAAGCTATTTACTGTGACTTTTACTTTATTTACTTACTTACTTATTTATTTATTTATTTTTGAGACAGGCTCTCACTATGCAGCTCAGGCTGACCTTGCGCTCACTTTGTAGCCCAGGCTGGTCTTGAACTTGCAACAATCCTCCTGCCTCAGCCTCCCCAGTGCTGGGATTTTAGGCATGCGCCACCATGCCCAGCTTTTACTGTGATTGTAACAAAAATACCAAAAAGTAGAAAACAAAACCAAAAAAACCCCCCAAAATTAGGCAACAGCCAAGTGTGGGGGTGCATGTGTGTAACCATGGTGAAACATTCCTCAACCCTCAGCTTGGACACTGTATCTTCAGGAAAGTCTTTCTTCACTGCGCCTGCTTCATAGACCTGCACGTTTCCCTACTGTCCAGGTTGTTCTATGTACTTCACACACTGAAAGGTATTTCCTTCACTCATATCTGTGTCCTGGCTAGACTGTGAGCAGTGTGGGGGCCGGCTCAGATCTTACAGATCTCTGTACTCCACAAGTCTGGTACACTGTAAGTGCTCTATAATTGTTGCATGGATAATGTAATCACAGATGTTTCTTTTCCCAAAAAACAGAAACATTGGTGTTAACTTTGTTTCTAATCGTTATAAAAAGAATAAGGCTTTTGTTATGTACATGTACCAACTCCTTGTCATGAATGTAATCTTTAAGCACTGCAAACAGGAACTGATAAACAAAAAAATTGGGCTTCTTTACAGAAGCAGAAATCAAGGATCAACAATTCCCATGACCCTAAAACTCACAGAAATTTAAGGAATCTGGCCTACTCAACATACTCTTGGAAACGAAGAACAAAATCAGAGGACTCACATTTCCTGGTTTCAAAACTCACTAGAGGGCTAGGCGTGGTGGTGCACACCTATAATCCCAGCATTTGGGAGGCTGAGGCAGGAGGATCGTGGCAAGTTCAAGGCCAGCCTGGGCTACAAAGCGAGCTCAAGGCCAGCCTGGGCTACAAAGCGAGCTCAAGGTCAGCCTAAACTGCATAGTGAGACCCTGTCTCAAAAAGATAAAAAACAAAACAAAACTCACTAGAGGTACAGTAATCAAGAGCATGGTACTAGCATAAGGACAGGCATAGCTCCATGGAACAGCAATGAGAGCATGGAAATAAACCACATATCTACAATCAACTGATTTGCAAAGGGTGCTAAGGCCATTCAGCAGGGGAAAACAGAAGACGCTGGGAAATTAGATGGCCACAAGTGAGAGAATGAAATTGGACCCCATCCTCATACCAAACACAAAAATTAACAAAATGTTTTTTTTTTTTTCTTTTTGTCCTTTTGAGACAGGATCTTTTGAGACAGGCAGCTCAGGCTGGCCTTGAGCTCACTTTGCAGCCCAGGCTGGTCTTGAACTAACAACGATCCTCCTGCCTCAGCCTCCCGAGTGCTGGGAACAAAATGGATCTTAAGTGTAAAATTAAAACTCTAAAATTGCCAGGAGAAAATACAAGAGTAAATCTTTGTGACTTCGGGTTAGGAAAGTCTCAGCTATGACACTAAAAGCACAAGAAATAAAAGACAGAAATAAATAAACTAGATTCATTAATATGCAAAACTTTTAAAGCCAGGCATGGTGGTGTGCACCTGTAATCCTGGCACTCAGGAGGCTGAGGCAGGAGGATTGTTGTGAGTTCAAGACCAGCCTGGGCTACCAAGTGAGCTCAGGGCTAGCCTAAACTGCATAGCGAGACCCTGTCTCAAAAAAATACAAAAAAAATATGCAGAACTTTTGTGCCTGAAAGAATACCATCAACGAAGTAAAAGACAACTCACAAAAGAGGAGAACAGATCTTCAAACCATAAATCAGATAAGGGACTTGCATCTAGAAAATATAAAGAGCTCTTAAAAACTCAACAATTAAAACAGTACCAGGTATGATGGTGCACACCTGTAATCTCAGCTACAGGTGGGACACCTGAAGAGGCTGAGGCAGGAGGATTCAAAGTTTAAGCGCAGCCCAGGCAACCTAGTGATTTAGCAAGACCCTTCTCAAAATAAAAAATAAAAGGGAAACAGTTCAGTGTGAAGATCCTGGATTCATTCTCCAGTACTGCAAAAACAAAAAACTACAAAATAGAAACAACCCAAATGTGAAATAATGAACAACTGAATGAAAATGTGGAATATCATATAACAAATGTTATTCAGCAATGAAAAAATATATGGATGAATCTTTAAAACTGTTATTCAAAGCCAGGCACAACAGCACAAGCCTATTGACCCAGTTCCTCAGGAGGCTGAAGCAAGAGGATGCCAAATTCAAGGCCAGCCTGGGCCACTTAGCCAGACCTTGATTCAAAATAAAAAGGGCTGGGCATATAGTTCAGTGACAGAGCACTTGCCTAGCATAAGTTCCATCCCTAGCACCACTAAAAAACAAAAAGATACTAGTTTAATTAAACAGAACTGGCTAGGGGTGGTGGCGAAAGCCTGTAATCCTGGCACCCGGGAGGCTGAGACAGGAGGAACAGTACAAGTTCAAGGCCAACCTGAGCTACATAGTGAGTTCAAAGCCAGCCTAGACTATTTTGGGACAGGGTCTCAATACCCCCAAATAAATAAATGTTAAAAAAGAAAAATAAAGAGTACATACTTCTCTGATATCCCTGAAGAAAAAGAGGGTTTTTCGGAAGATCGTTGTGAGGTCGAGAACCAGCCTGGGCTACAAAGTGAGCTCCAGGCCAGCCTGAACTGCAGAGCGAGACCCTGTCTCAAAAAGACATACACACACGCACACACACAAAAGGGTGCCTCAAGAGGTGATGGCTTATGAAGATGAGAAAGAACCCGGAGTCAAACCTAGCACATCTCTTCAAACTTCCAAAGAGAGGAGCAAAGAACCTCGGAGAGGGGGTTGGGGATTTAGCTCAGCGGCAAAGCGCCTGCCTGGCCAGCGCAATGTCGTGAGTTCGGTTCCCGGTACCGGAGAAAAACCAAAAAAAAAAAAAAAAAAAAAAAAAAACCAACCAAAAGAACCTCGGAGATGGAAGGGGAGGGAAAACATACAGAGAACCTACACTGTGGGTATGTTCACTGAAAATACCTAGTTCTTGTTATAGCAGAAGTGACTAAGGCACAGGGAGGTGCCCAAGGTGACCAGAAGGCGAGGTCAGAGGTAGGGTCCGGCCCAAGCATTCTAACGCTGGACTCCCAGTCTTCCCTAATCTCACCTTTTTTTTTTTTTTTTTTTTTTTTTGTCTTTTTGAGACAGAGTCTCACTATGCAGCTCAAGATGGCGCTGAACTCACTTTGTAGCACAGGCTGGCCTCTAACTCACTACGATCCTCCTGTCTCAGCCTCCGGAGTCCTGGGATTACAGGCGTGCACCACTATGCCCGGCTCTGATCTCACCTTTCAATCCCATTTGACTTCCCGGGATCTTGGCTTGGAATGTTTTAGTCTTGTTCCTGTCTGGACCATCTTCAAATTTCAAGGTGGTCAGCAGCCCCACGAGGTGAGACCCCTGCGACTTCTCCGTGACTGTCCCATTCACAGGGCACAAGGTCAGCTGGCCGAAAGACCTCAAGAAGGAGACCCAGTCCTGTGTGCAGAGGGATGATGAGAGAGAGGGGACAGGCGGTGCACATCAGGGGCAGGGCTCTGTGGGAAGGGCAAGCCGGAGGGCACTTACCTGAGGGATGTCAGGGCTGCGCAGCCCGGTCCTGTGGGTAAGGAAAAAGCCACCCAGGCCCAGGCCAGAGAGGCCGAGGAGCAGCAAGATCAGATTGGCACAGACCAGAGGTGGGTGGTGGGCCAGACAGAGATGCAGGTTGTGCCAGGCCTGGCAGCTGCCCATGAGGAGCAAAGGAGTCTTCTCGGACAACCTGCTGGAAGACAGGGAGGGAGGACTGGACGAGAGCCTGCTGGTCAGACGGCCCTCGCCCATGTTATGCAAAGGGGGCAAAAGCTCAGGGAAGACAAGAGACTTGCCCAAGGCTACATGGGCAGTTAGTGGCAGAGACAAGAACTCAAGGTTCCTGACTTCCAAAGTTCATCTCCCTGTCGCCCGCAGTAAATACTTGTTGTAGTTCATTTCTGAAACAACCCGTGGGAAGCAGAGCAGAGCATCTTGCGCTGGAACAAGGAAACTGAAAGGAGGAATTAATTCTCAGCCTGACCAAGAGGAAGCAGCACTGACGCCTAGACACGCAGCAGGACTCCGCTTTGGATCTAAAAGGCTAAGTGGGTCGGAACCCCTTGCTACTCATTAACTGTGTGAGACCACGTCAGTGAACTGCCGCAAGCTTAGGCATCCGTGAAAGGGGAGTTCTAAGAACACCACGTCACGAGGATTCAATGTGGTCCACAGCTGTCGGTGTGCTACTTGGCAATGCAGGAACTCAACAGATGTCATCTCCTTTCTCTTGCTCATAGTGATCCTTAAAACCAGAAGGGGAGAAAAGTGCTGTGGGGGAAACTGCAGCTCAGGGACCTTAACGCAGGAGTGGTCTAGCTGGGGTCTGAAACCCGCCTCCGACTTTCAAGGAGAGTACTCTATCCCGCCCAAGAAGCGACAGCTGGACTAAAAAGAACATCTGGAAGGCCAGAGATAAACAGATGGGGTAGGGGAAGAAGACAGCCACGGAAACGCAGGTGTCTCAGACGCTCAGCCTTCGCCCTGCCGCCGGTCCTGGGATTGCTGGAAGGGCAAACACAGGAGCCGGGAGGGCAGAGTTTGGGGGTCAGCGGCGGGTGCGGCACCCGGGCCTCCTCCCCTCCCCAACGCCCCCTCCGGAAGGATCGCGACACCCGCATCCCTTCCCGATCTAGCGGCGCTAGGTGGCCGGCCGCTAGCTCTCACCGCTCGGAGCCGGGCGGAGGCCCCCCGCGACGTCACGCGTGGAGCCGCGAGGGGCGGGGTCTTGCTCCGTGTCCCCCTCCCCCGCCCTGACCCCCTTCCAACGCTCGCATGCGCACTGGCCGCAAGGCAGCGCTAGGCGTCCAGGCGGGAGCGTACCAAGAGGGAGGCAGTCCGGGGGCGACAGAGGCGAGGCCCACGCTCGCGAGCGGGCAAGGAAGCGGGAGCGTGGTGCAGAGCCAGTGTTGGAGGTGTGGCGGTGTGCTGGGACCTCTCTTCCAAGCGCCGCGGGGCAGGAGTTCTGTGGGAATCTCGTTGCAGGCATTTTCCTGTGACTCGTCTCCAACCCGCGCTGGTAGCACGGCCCAGCCAAGCCCAGGTTCCGGGGAAGGACTTGGGTCCGCCCGGTGGGGTGGGGCTCGCACTTTAGGACCCTGCTCTTCCGGGACGGGAGTGGTGTTTGGGCTGCGTCCCCAAAACGCGTGATGTGTTTATGCATGGCCTCTGGCTTTTAGCCGTTCCTTAATGCATAGGAGCTTGGAGCTGAAAAGATGCACTACGGAGACCACCTGATTTCACTTTTTTTTTTTTTTTTTTTTTTTTTTTTGGTCTTTTTGAGGCAGGGTCTTGCTGTGCAGTTCAGGCTGGCCTTGAGCTCACTTTGTAGCCCATACTGGTCTCGAACTCGCAACGATCCTCCTGCCTCAGCCTCCCGAGTGCTGGGATTACAGGTGTGCGCCACCACTCCCAGCTCACCTCATTTCACTTTTGCCCACTTTTTAGAGATGGGAAGATCTTACCTGAAAACAGCATGACACGTGGGGCCGGGAACTCTGGTTTCAAGTCCTGACTGTCTACGCCCCTGCAAAAGTCATGGCTGTGCTCTCCTGGCAAGAAGATTGGACCTGTGATAAAGGTCAGCAGCTGTCTTGCTGGTTCCATGAGAAGCTTAAGAGGCAACGTGTGCGAAAATATGAACCCATTGCCCACTGAACACGCAGCGCCACTAAACACATACTATTTGAAACAGAGTCTGAGTATTTAACACACTGTGAAGCCGGGCTTTGTGGCGCACTCCTGTAATCCCAGCATTCGGGAGGCTGAGGCAAGAGGATTGTTGCAAGTTTGAGACCAGCCTGGGCTACAAAGTGAGCTCAAGGCCCGCCTGAACTGCATAGCGAGACCCTGTCTCTAAAAAAAAAACAAAACAAAAACCCAACTGTGGCTTCTTTAAGACAGAGACAACCTCATTTTGGTACCACCATCTGCAAAGGTTTATGGCACAAGACCTTGACATACTTAGTCAAACGATTCTTGCCAAGGATGTCATGACCGCTAGTGGGGAAAAATGACTTTTTTCCACCTGTGCACCAAAAGACAACAGGGGCAGACATGGTGCCACACACCTGCAATCCCAGCCCTCAGGAAGCTGAGGCAGGAGGAGTTCCATGGGTTCAAGGCCAGCCTGGGCTCCATAGTGAGTTCAAGACCATCCTGAACTACATAGGGAGACCCTGTCTCAAAAAAAAAAAAAAAAAATCCAAAAGACACAACAGGGTGAAAAGGCAACCACAGAATACTTGAAAATCAAGTGTCTGACAGGGGGTTAATATGCAGAAGGTATGATGAACTCAGTGACAACAAAACATAAGCTATCCAATTCAGAAGTAGGCAAAAGACTTGAATAGACATTTCTCCCAAAAGGATATACAGTGAGCAACAACCACAAAAGGTGACCAACATTACTAATCATTAGGAAAATGCAAACCAGAATGCAAGTGAAGTTCTGTCTCTTACTCTTTAGGATGGCTACGTTCAAGAAAATAAGTGTTGGTAAATGTGGATAAATGGGAAGACATATGCTTTTGGGGGTAATGTAAAATGACCCAGTTGCGGTCAGAAATAGTGTAGCAATTCCTAAAAAAGTTAAATACAGACATACATACGATCCTGTCATTTCACTTCTGAGATATACCCAAGAGAACTGAAAGCAGGGTTTCAAAGACAGATTTGTACATCCATGTTCATAGCAGCACTCTTCACAAGTGGCAAAGGGAGCCGGGCATGGTAATGCACGCCTGTAATCCCAGCACTTGGGAAGCTGAGGCAGGAGGACTGCTGCAAGTTCAAGGCCAGCCTGGGCTCCATAGTGAGTTCAAGGCCAGCCTGAATGACACAGTGAGACAAAACAAAATAAAAACAAAGAAAAAACAAATGTAAAGGTAATAGCCACCCAAGTAAGTGTCCATTGACAGATCATTTTTGGTTGTGTTTTGTTTTATTTTTTGAGATGAGGGCTCACTATGTAGTTCAGGCAGGCCTTGAACTCACACAAATCCTCTGCCTCAGCCTCCCAAGTGCTGGGGTTACAGGCCTGCACCACTATGCCTGGGTAAAATTGCCTTCATTTTTTTTTAATTTTGGTACCAGAAATTGAACTCAGGGCCTTGTGTTTGCCACACAGGCACTGTGTTGCTGAGCTACATCCCTGGCCTGAATTTCCTTTTTAAAGTTGAGTCATATTCCATCATATGTTGGGTATACTACATTTTGTTTAAAACACTTATCTAGCCAGGTGTGGCCAGCAAGTTTGAGGCCAGCCTGGGCTACACAGTGAGTTCAAACCAGCCTAAACTACATAACAAGACCCTGTCTCAACAAACAAAAATATAAAAAGAAAGTTTTATCACTTATATACATTAACTATAATATATATTTAACTAAAATATAGTTAACTAAAATATATAGTTAACATTAGCTATAATATATATAGTGCCACACACTTGCAATCCCAGCCCTCAGGAAGCTGAGGCAGGAGGATTTCCATGGGTTCAAGGCCAGCCTGGGCTACATAGTGAGTTCAAGACCTTATATGCAACACAGGGTAATTCTTATCCACTCAGTGTGGCCTAAGAGAGCCAAAAGATTGGCTACCCATGGTTTCTGGGTACAGAGTTTTAATTCTTTTTTTTTGTTTTTTTTCCAGTACCGGGAATCAAACTCACGACCTTGCTTTTGCCGGGCAGGCGCTGTGCCGCTGAGCTAAATCCCCAGCCCCCAGAGTTTTAATTCTGCAAGATGAAAATGTTCTAGAGATGGATGATTACATGTCACCAACAATAAGGTAAATGTACTTAATACTACTGAACTGTACACTGAAAATAGCAAAGATGGTACATGTCATGTGTATTTTATTACAATTAAAAATTAAATTTGTAGAAACCATTGAGGAAAAGGTTTATGGTATAGTCTCCTAGAGGCTAATCAGGTGACAAAATAAGACCCTCAAGAAAAAAAAAAACTTTTTAGCAGGCAATTTCCCCTGAGAATTTAACCAATTTTCAGTCTTTAAAATTGGGCCTTGTTGGGTGTGGTGGCGCACGCTTGTAATCCCAGCACTCGGGAGGCTGAGGCAGGAGGATCATGGCGAGTTCGAGACCAGCCTGAACTATAAAGTGAGCTCAAGGCCAACCTGAACTGTACAGGGAGACTCTGTCTCAAAACAAAACAAAACAACACAAAATTACTATCAATGTAGCAAAACCTTTCTCAGTGCTTCTGCTTTAGGACATGTCTAATTTCCAGGGTGAGGTAAGGCATGAAAGGGCCTACCATAATGCTGCTATAACAAGTGGGGATATTCCCTCACTAGTCTTGTTTTGCAGAGTAGTTGTGCATATTTGGTTTTTTTTTTTTTTTTTTTTTTTTTTTTTTTTTTTTTTTTTTTCCGGGAACCGAACTCACGACCTTGCGCTTGCCAGGCAGGCGCTTTGCCGCTGAGCTAAATCCCCAGCCCTAGTTGTGCATATTTGGATAGCAATTCTCGTAAATGAACAGAGCTGCCATTTACTTACTTGGCCAAACCAAGTAATTCTAGGAACCAGAAGAAACAAACCAGTTAGAGCGAGAACTGCCTGGAGTCCTGAGAATCAGGGTGAATAGATGCGAACAAGTGTCTCACAGGGAAAAAAGAAAAAGTGTGTGTGAGGGGGAAACAGAGAGAACATAAAATTAATTGTGCACTTAGCACTCCAACGTACACTGACATTTTAAAAAATAATCCACTCAGTGGCTCTCAAGGTGGATGTTGCTGTGGAAACGGCTCCTTAGACAGCCTATATAATTCAACCAAGGTCACATGGATAGTAGGTGGCAGAAGCAGGGTTATAATTCCAGCCTAACACAGCCCAAATCAGAAAAAATACCAGAGAAAAATCAGAAAGCCAGTGGAGAATCCATTCCAGTTCCCAGAAAGAAATGGAGGGAAGTTTCCTTGATTCTTCATGGTGTTAAATTCCTCTTAAAGCTTCGGCCCAGCTAAAGCTTCTCCCGAAAATCTGTTTGATGTTCTCCTTCTAGATTATCGAGTCAAACCTTTTTGCGCTTACTGACCCCTACGCAAGTCTGATGAAAGCTTTTTATTCACTTGGTCAGTTGTTCATTTAATAAACATCTGTTGATTGCCAGGCTGTGGACAAACTATTTATGATCCTTGGCCTCCTAGAACTACATTCTGACTATGGACTCTCTAGAAAAATGCATGCTTAGCTGGGTACGGTGGCACATGCCTGTACCCCAGATAAGTATTAGGAAGCAGGAAGATCATGAGTTTGAGGCCAGCCTAGACAATTTAGTGAGACCCTATGTTAAAATAAAATAAAAAGGGCCAGAAATGTAGCTCAGCGGTAGAGCGCTTGTTTACAATACAAAAGGCCCTGGCTTCAGTCTCCAATATCACACACACAAACTCACACACACACACACTGTGTTGGTTTGGGCTTACTGTGCAAAATGAAACAATATAGTACAGGACACATATTTTATATGATTATTTATAATAGTCACCCAAAGAACGATATACAGGGGCTGGGGAATTAGCTCAGCGGGACAGTGCCTGCCTGGCAAGCACAAGGTCATGAGTTTGATTCCCGGTACCGGAAAAAAACAGAAAACAAAACAAAGAACTATATACAAAAGAGTGCAGGAAATCTGTCCACACACTGTAGACCAAGAATCCAGCTGATGGCCTGGATCCCATGGACATGTCCTGCATTAGTCCAGCTGAAGACCTAGAGCTGGCCTGAGATATAGCTCAGTAGTACAAGCACCTCCCTGGCAAGCACAAGGTCTT